ACCTCCTCTTCACCAGGGACATGCGGTAGCCGCTTCCCACCAGCTCCACGCCTACACCGGACAGCGTGGTTCCCTCACTCACGAACTGTGCGGCCACGGGGCTGGGGGTGCTGGGCCCTGACAGTGGCTCCCAGCTGGCAGAGAGGCGGCCGGAGCCTAGGGAGGCCGGAGGCAGGCGTCAGGCGTGGCCCCTGTCTGCCCCACGGCCCCTCTTGGCTGCTGGACCTTCCTTTCTGGCCCAACCCGGAGCTGCAGATCTTGCCAAGTGGTCCCGCCTGCCCACCACACCCCATGGGCTGCTTCCAGATTTTCTGTTTTTCTTTTGAACTTCAAACAGAAGGTCTTGGACATGCTCAGCCAGCGCTGGCCCTTTTTATTTTTATTTTTTTATTTCAAAACAGGGTCTTACCAGATTGCCCAAGCTGGGCTTGAACTTGGGGACCTCCTGCCTCAGCCTCTGGGTTATGGACCACCACACCAGGCTCCTCCCAGATTTTTCATGGCAACCTCCCCCAGCACACTCCCAATTCCTCCCCAGTTTCTACAAGAGCCTTGCACCTGAGGACCTCCTCCCCGCCCCGCCTCCCCAGCTCTCACTTACCCGCTGCCTCAGACACATCCGGGAGCTTCCACGTGAATCGTTTTTCCTCCAGGCTCCTGGCCGCAGGAGGAGCTTGGTCAGAAGATGCCAGGAGCCCGGGGACTCGTTCCAGCACCCCACCACCCAGATGGGCCGAGGTTGTCCCATGGGCGAGAGAGGGTGGGCTGTGCATGGGGACCGCGGGCTGCCCTCACCAGGTGGCTGCAGGCTGCAGGCGCACGTTGGTGACCGGCTCGCCCACAGGCAGCAAGATGTGGACGTTGGAGAGCGGCGTGGACACGGCCGTGGCGCCGGCGCGGTAGCTGTATTCCACGGCCACCTGCGTGAGCGCCGCCCCGCACTGCCAGTGCGCGCGCAGCTGCAGAGGCAGCGCCTGGGGGCCCGGGCGGGAAAACTGGGGGAACAGGCCAGGGAGAGGGACGTCGTTGGGGCCGCCACGTGCTCTGTGCACCCACTAGGCCCTCGCCTGCCGCTCCAGCTCGCAGTGCAATTACGCACGCATGCCTACACTCGCGGCCCATTGTCGCTAAGGCGGCCTTTGTGGAGCTTTGTTACACTTCGTTTCCAGGAGAGGGCAGGAGAGCGCTCATTTTAAGCCCGACAGACGCGCTCAGATTCACCGTTCTTTCATTTGCATAATAGCGCCCTCTGCACCAATAGATGCCGGGTCTGTAACACTGTCTGCTACTTTAGCATTCATGCTCCCGCCCACCCTTGGCTCTTATTGGCTGTCTATATTTCTGATGCCTGCTCTTATTGGTGGTCTGAGTGCCTGCCTCCTGCCCTCATTGGGTGCCCGTTTTGGTCGCCTGCTCTCATTGGCTGCACCCCTGCCCCGCCCCTTGCACATAATCTACCTGGTAGCGCAGCAGCACCACGTTGTAGTAGGAGGCCGCGGGGTTCTGCTCTGCCTGACGCTGCAGGGCCTCGGTCAGAGCAGCCATGTTGAGCCAGAAGTCTTTGGTCTCTGGGTCACTCTGGGAGGGGTCACTGCAGAGACAAGGACTCATCACCCAAACTCAGGACACACCCTCTCAGGGCTTGCTAAATTTCTCGGGGCACCCTGGACTCAGCCAAGCCCACTGTGGGCAAGTGCGCGAAGGCAAGCAAAGCAGGGTTCAGAGAGGGCACGCGACTTGTCCCAGGCCACACACGTGCCCCCGGGGCATGGCAGGCCTTCAGGGCTCCTCTCACTTGCCGTCCACGGACCTGAAGAGCAGGTCGGTGTTGGGCTGGAAGTGCTCGATGCCAGCGGTGTGAATGAGCCGGAAGCTGAGCACGGGTGGAGGGGGGGTCCCGCTGAACACACGCACGATGCCGGCCGGGAAGGTCATGGTCAACTCTCCGGTGACCCGAGCTACACTGCTGGGGGCAAGAAAGACTGGTATCAGGTCAGGGTTCTGACTGGACCAGCATCCTCTCTTCTCCAGGGTCCACAACAGTGCTGTGGTTTCCCAGGCTTCTTAATATGCAGAAGACCCTGGCCATTCCCTGGATCCTTCTCGGACTTCCTCTGTCATCTCTATTTGGACAGAAAGAGTTCATGCTGGGCTGAAGGAGGTCCAAATATGCTCTTCCCTATTTACCTTTTCTTCCAGGCCACCAGGAAGCTTAAACAGAGTGGCTCTGTATTTTAACTTAGTTTGGGTTTTGGGTTTAACGCTCTCTTCCTCGTTCTCTTCAAGTTTGTGGTTCGGATGCAACCTCAGGAATGTCAAGCGGATCCCTGCGTACCTGGGGCTGTGGCCACGAAAGTAGGCGTGGACATACTCGGTGAAGGCCGTGGCCACGGGCAGTGCATCCTGGGAGCCTAGGACTACAGGGCTGGGCCCCCGGGAGACTCCTGGGAGTGGTGGGAAAAGAGGGTGTCAGATGCAGAGAGCACAGATTGTAGCTTCCACACCCAAAGGGCCTCTCCCTTAGTCACCCACCAAGCCAGAGAGCGGTAAACTGAGGTAGGGGGCAGAGTGGCCCCACATACCATGTCCAGTCTGCGACGAGAAGTTGGGCCGATCCGGGGCCATATGGGGGGCTGATGAGCCCAGCGGGGAGGGGCTCAGAGACCGGGACTGCAGGACAGAAGGGTGGCAGGGCTGACATCTGTGTTGAAAGCTGACTTAGAAGCCACTCCCAGCCAAGGTCCCCATACCCTGGGACCTACCAGGTCGCCGTTGCTACGGGTGAGGGGACAGGACACCTTCCTGGAGCGGGGTCGTCGGGGCGGGGCTGCCAGGCCATCTCTGGCTGTGGAATCTGCGGGTGTCAGGTCTGGGGGACAAGTTCAAAGAACAGGCATCGCTGAGATGCTGCCCCCCCAACTTCTGCGGCCTTCCCGGGGGCAGGAACTCAGCCTAGGACTGAGGAGAGGGGAGTTCTGGAGTGACCTATCCTATGAAGTTCTATAGACCACGTCCACAACCCTGAATGTCTCAGACATCAAACTGCTGGCCGGAAAAGGAGTGAGCTCCCTGTTACTGGTGGCATGCAAGTAAGCTGTGGTAGCTTAGCACATGGGCGTGCTACAGGGGAGATCTGGAATTTTATCCAAGCCAGCTCAGATGTCCCTTCCCTGGGAGGCACCTGCAAGCTAGGCCCACAGGGGGCCCTGAGACATTGCACTCTACGCTCAGAGGCATCCTCCAGCTCACCTGCTCCGGCCTCTATTCCCCACGGTCCTGGTGAAGGTGCCGCAGGTTTTGGAGAGTCGGATGGTGCTGGGACCCTGGCGGCCCTGGAGTCCTGGGGCTGTGCCCTACAGATTGGTGGGCTCTGTGGGGTACCTGGGTGGGGGACCCAGGAGTCTGGAGAGGGACCAGTAGCTGCATGGGATGGAGAGTCCAAACCAGAGTCCTCCACGTTCTCGGGTGAGGAGGAGGAGAATGGAGAGGGGCTGGAGGTGAAGCCCAGGCTGCTGGAGCCTAGGGGGTTGGAAGGGAGGTCAACTCAGCCATGCCCGTCAGATAGGCCACACCCACAATCCCTTCCCTGTCACATCCATTTACACTAATGCCTGCCTAACACCCACCTACTCAAACCTAGACCCCACCCTCTGCACCCACCCACTTACACAGTGGTCCTGCCCATTCTATCAAAGGTTTTTACCTTTCATGGCCCCGCCCACTCCACCAGATTCCTCCACCCTCCATGGCCCCACCCACTGTAGTAAAAGTCTAATCTCTATGGTTCCGCCCACTTGACAGTTGCTTCATCCAATCCATAAAAGACCTCCATAGCCCCACCCCCTCAACCATGGCTCCGCCCACCCTCAAAGGCCTCCGCCCTCTATGGTTCCACCTACTCATAAACAGCCCGGCCCACGGTGAGTTTGATGTTCACCCCTCCCCTTTTCTCGGCCCCCTCCATGACCTGTCTTCTCACTGGCTCTTCCAACTGGTTTAGTCTTATGTGGCCACGCCCACCTGTGAAGTCCTCGTGGTCCAAAGCAGACTCCAGCGGCGGCCCGAAGAGGCTCTTGGACACCTGCTCGTTGGAGGCCGGCAGCTTCTCCGCGCAGCTTCAGGGTGCAGGGTAGGCGGGCAGGGTCAGTGCTGCTCTCTGCAGCCGCCTCTCCCTGCACCTGCTGTTCCCTGTTTTGTGCTCTGTTCTAGCTGTTCTCTTCCTGCGCCTCCTCCGGGCTCAACTCTATCACCCCCCTCAGTGAGACCATCACCCCAAGTGAGGTCACCCCTCTGTCATGTCCCCCGCTGCGAGCTCTTGCCAGCCCTTAGGGTGCCCTTTCAGTCATCTGTTACTCTATTTGCTGCTTTAGAGACAGGGTTTTACTATGTAGTCCACACTGGCCTTGAACTCACGGCGACCCTCCTGCCTCTGCCTCCTGAGGGCTGGGTTGGTGGGCATCATTTGCGATCCTCACGAGAAGGGAGAGGCCTGTCTGGGTCCTACATCCTCCAAACCCAGCTGGGCACAAGTAGACAGTAGGTGCTTTATAGATGCTATGTGGGTGACTAAGTGTCCCTCACCAAGCAGGACAAGCTTAATTCCTGTCTAGGGTTCAGAGAAGCCAGGGTAGAGACAGGACCTAGGGGCAGGGCTAACCTGCTGCACATGCGCGCTGAATCCCGTGCACCCCGCAGAACTCACCTGGTGGCCCGGGGTGCAGACCGAGGCCTCTGTGGCTTCCCGGCCGGGTCGCGGGCGGAGTGGCGCTTCATGGTGCCCTGTGGAGGGACGCGGGCTTCAGGCAGGTGGGCAGCCAACCCGGGTCTCTGTTCCCGCCCGCCCGTCCCGCACCTCACCCCGGGGCCCGGAGGGAGAATGAGGCTGCCGGCAGTGGCCCGGAGCTGTGCCGCTGCAGCCTCCGAGCTGCAGGCTGGAGCGCGGGCCGGGGCGGGCTTGATGTGCACGTAGAATTTTCTAGGCTCCTCGTCGTCAAAGTCGGAGTCGCTGGATGAAAAACGAGAGAGCTCGGCCGTGCGTGGGCCTCTGTCAAGGAGCCAAGCAGACCTCAAATCCAACCACAAAGCTCCCTCCCCGCTCAAGCCCCTTGGAGATCTTGTACAATGCCATCATTCACCAGTTGCCAGACTCCTTGGTAAACTCTTATTCAACAGCTAAACCCCAACACGGGTGCTCCTCCATGCAGGCAGCCCTTTGAACTCTCCCTCGGGGGAACTGCAATCTCCCCTCTCGCTCCTGAGCTCCCAGGGTGGGCGGGCGTTTGTAGCGCTAAACTGGGTCATTGCGGACTGGCTGTTGTCCTTGTGGTGCCAGAAGTTGCCTCTAGAGGGCGCCAGAAGGATATTGTTCTGGGTCGCTTCGGGCCGTACGGTGAAGCCTTCTTCGTCCACCTCTGGACACATCTGCAGAGAAGGAGCGGTGAATGAAGTCCCAGCCACGAATCTTGCGACACACGCACACCCTGTGCACATGCGCGCCCGGAGTCCTGACCTCCGAGCTAACTCCCTGTCTTCCCCGCACCTGGGGCAGGTCTCTGGGGGCTGACCGTGGCCCTGCAGGGACCTCTGCACCTCCCTGGGTGGCGCCGGGTGGGGGGGGGTGGCCGAGGAGGGACTTGAACCCAGCCTCCAGCCTGCCCCAGGGTGGGACCCATCCGCTCCCACTGCAGCCCATGGGGCTCGCCCCTGACTCACCCCTGAATCGGGCTCCAGGAAATCTCTGGGGAGGGAGAAAAGACCTCAGCACCAGCTCCTCTGGCTCACGGGGCACCCCCTCTGCTCCAGACAGGCCACGGAGCCGAGCCGGGGTGTTGGGGTGCTGGAGTCTGGGGGGAGGGGATGGAGTTTGGGGCAGCTTGGGCCAGCTTTTGGAGCGGCCTAGGTGGGGTAACCCTGGCCGGACCAGGCCAGGCCTCGCCTTGGCTCAGGGAGCCGTGGGCAGGGATACGACTGGGCGGGGGACCCCGGGCGAGCGGGCACAGGGGCGCCCCGGGTTTGGACTCCGGACGGGCGCTTCCTTACGCGGCCGCTGGAGGTTCCCGCTCCCGCCGGCTTAGTCCTGGCAGGCGGAAGGCCTTGGCTCCCCGCAGTCGCTTCATTGCTGAGGACACAGGGGCGCACCTGAGCCCGCGTGGTGCCCCTCTCCCCTCTGCCCCCTCCCTTCGCCCTCAGGGTCCAGCCTGGGCAGCCGGGCCCAGACGTACTTGCCTTCCTGCAGGGCGGCCGCACTGTACGCCTCGAAGTCCAGGGGCCCTGGACGGGGAGGAGCTGCACGTGAACCCGGGTGGGCTGCAGGCTAAGACCGGGCATGGGTGGGGTGGGCCTGGTGACTGAGGAGACCCTGGCTGGGCAGTGCGGCTGTGACTCTAGGCACAGTGGCATTGCTGTCTGCAGCTGGGCGCTCAGGGGAGGCCCCACCCTTTGCCTTGTGCATCAGCTCACTCGGTAGCACTGAGGCTCAGAGAGGTCAAGAAAACATCCCGGGTCACACAGCAAGCCAGACGAGAGGCTGCAGGTCCAGGCCTAACTCCAGAAGGTTCGCCCTCAGCTCCTCTTAGCCCCTGCATCTCGGCATCTCCCAGCTGGCCTTTGACTCAGCGGCCCTCAGGGGCTCCTGTGGGCCTGGGGCAGCAGGGGGCACAGGTGCCTGGCTGTCACCCTCCCCCGGGATCTGGCTCTGAGGTTCACTGCTGGGCTCAGGCTTGTGCTTCTCTGTGGGCTGGGGAGTTGGAGCTGTCGCCAGGCCATTTTTTTTTTCTAGCGCCGGGAATGGAACCCAGACCCCACATTCCCTGGCTGAGCGCCCGCCACGGCCACCAAGCGCACCCCAGCCCGCTTTTCCGACGATGGACCAGGCCTGTGAGGCCCCGCCCGCTCACCCGGCTTCTCCTGGCCGGTGCCCTTGCTCTCCGCGAACTTCCTGAGCAGCAGGTCCACGCTCACGTTCTCGATGTTCTGTTTGAACTCCTCGTGCACCTGGGGAGCGTTGGGGGGGGGTCACACACAGGTCCCCTGCCCAGCCTTCTCCGGCTGCTCCCCTCCTCCCACACCGACCTCACCTGCCCGATCTGAACGTGCGTGTCCTCCACGGAGTGGGCGTAGGAGCCCAGCAGCGCCTTCATGTGCCGCAGGTGGGTCTCCTCCAGGGCCTGGAAGCGCTGGGTGGGTGGGCGGGGGTATGGCAAGGACAGGGCTAGGGAGGAGGGTCATGGGACCCAGCCTGGCCAATCAGAACATCCCAAGTCCCTAGTCGTAGTGATTGATTTGGGGAAGAGCCAATGAGGTTCTTCCCTAGGACTTTTGTGGGAACCATGAGGAAAAAGGCACTTTGATTTCTGGGCCTAAGAGTGGTTGGGATGTGAATGCAGGCTGCTGTGGGGAACTCCTCCCACTCCCCCGTCACATGCAGGCACACACACACATTCATCTGATGCCTGATAGTGAAGGCCCCCAGGGAGGTCCTCACAAGCAGAGACACACAATTTCCTGTCAACGTTGAGCACCTGGATCCAGCCATGCCTGAAACCTCTTCTATCCCCTAAAAAACTTTCCAGTTCACTGAGCCTATAAATCTGCCAGTTTAAATAAAGGTTTCTGTCATTTGCAACTTTAAGAAAATTATGATTCTTAATCTGGAGATCCGATATGCATTTTGCACACGTTGGGTGCACAAACGCTCAGGGACAAAGTGCCTGCGAAAGGTCACCTCACTGGTGAGGGATGGAGGCTGGATGGGAATCCAGGCCCCTCGGCGGCCGAGAACATCAGGAGACCCCTGGCGTCTAAGCCCAGTCCTGCCTTGTTCAAAAATCTCAAGAATAGTAGAATTAAAGCAGCGCGTGGAGGGCTTCCCGGCACCTGGTACTGAGCCGAAAACCACACGGTGTGACTCATTCACACTCCACCGTAGCCAATAGGCTGACAAGCGGTGCTCATCTAATTTTCACAAGCAGGTGTTCCCACTGACTGCATTTTACAGAGGGGGAAACTGAGGCACAGCGCGAGTTAACATCTGACATAGCAGCAGCAGCAGCAGCGGGCTGGCAGCTGTGGCCCGAAGGTGCTGGGTGGGATTGCGGCTCTGGACTCCAGGGGCTCCCCGCAGCCTGGGCCCGACGCGCTGGTCCCCGGTCACCTGTGCCTGGTCCTTACCAGCGCGGAGTCCAGCATCCTCTGCTCGAAGTCGGCCCTGGCCGAGTTGTACTTCTCCACCGAGCGCCTCAGGCTCTCGGCCGCCTTCTTGGCTTTGGTTTCCGCCTGGGAGGCACGGGGTGGGCCGGGGCGGGTCACTTGGCCGGCCCAGTCACCTGCGGGGGCTCGGAGTGGCCCCTCCGTGTGACGCCCGTCCCTCGGGCCTCAGCCCCCGCCCCGCCGAGCGCCCACCTTGTCCACCTCCTTCTGGCTGGTGTTCTCCCGGCGCAGCCGCTCCAGGTCCACGCAGCGGCTCAGGTAGTTCTCGCGAGACTTGGGCAGCAGCTGGGTGACCCCGGCGAGCAGCTGCACCGCGTCCAGGGTGCCCCCCACTTCCTCCTTGCACTGTGGGCAGAAAGGGCTCGTGGGGGCCATGCATGCCGGGCCTAGGGTGACCTTCCGGGGTCCCAGGTACTCTGTGCCTTCCAGGACCATGGCCATTTCCTGAGAATTTTATTCATTTTAAAGCATTTGGAAGGCTGGCGATGCAGCGCAGAGGCAGAGCGCTTGCTGAGCACGTGTGAGGAGGCCCTGGGTTCCAAATTTAAAATTTCATGAGGCTTAAAGTACGCAGATTCAGCTGGACGTGGTGATGCACACCTATGAACCTAGTACCCAGGAGGCTGAGGCAGGAGGGTTGGCAGTTGGAGGCCAGCCCGGGCTACATAAGGAGAGCTTGCAAAATTGAAAAAAAAAAAAAAAAAGAGATGGGGTGGGGTCAGGGGGGGCCATGCATTGCCCATTAGAGGTTCCATCTTGGCTTTCGGCCTAGGGCACAAAGCGTGGCCACCGCTGGAAACCCGGAAAGCCCTAAGTCCCAGCCCCGTTGGGGGCAGCCGTGCATAAGTGCAGAGCTCTGCGCCTGCAATCGTGAAGCCTCACGTGTGTGCGCCCCGAGCTCAGGGCTCCAGAGATTGCAGATTCTAGGGGGCTCACAGGTGGGGCCCGGCGGCAGGGAGTAAACGCGGCCCACTGTCACAGACCCTGGGACCTGGGAGCGCAGCGGGCACCCGGCACAGGTGTGAACAAGGCCGTGTGCAAATAAAACATTACTAACCCACCGGAACCGGAGTACTGCGTAACAAGGGCCTCGCACATCACTGAAGAGCGTTCTGTTTTTGATGATTTGCTAGCCTTCCCAAAGTGTCAAAACCAATGAAACAAAGCAAAAATAAAATAATGTAAAAGCCAGCTTTGGGCTGTACCAAAGCAGGCAGAGGGCCAGCAAGCTGCTACAGCGGGACGGGCTCGCACATGCGCAGTGAGCCTCCCTGCCCCCTCCCGGTATGATTCTGCGGTGAACCGGCTGCAGGGTCCGTCTGCCCAGATGCCGGGTCAGGTGTTCTGCGCATGAGCAGGAGTCTGAGCCTCGTTGCCAGGGTTTGGGGCTACAGGTGGCTTTGAGATCTCAGGAGCCACTAGCGCCCCGGCCCCCGCGGGCAGCCCCCCCAAACGCGCACCTTCTTCTGGGCCTTGAGCTGCTCCTCCCCGTAGCGCAGCACGTCCTTGATGAGGTCCTGCAGCTTCCGCGTCAGCTCCAGGTGGCACAAGGCCAGCTTGTCGGAGGACACGCGAAAGACCTCCCAGAGTGGGGCGAAAGTCCTGGGGACAGGCGGGTCACACTCAGGGCCCCACAGGGCCAGAGCTGCTGCCCCGCACCCGGGCCCAATGGGCACTGGGCTGCCAAGTGTCCCTCACTGTCCCAGCTCATTTTCTTTGTGTTGTGGGGGCCAGGCAAGCGCTCCCCACAGAGCTGCACCCCCAGTCCCAAAGCTAGAATTTAAACGTGGCCCCGAGGCCCCAGCAGTTCTCACCCAGGTCCGGGGCTCCCAGCCCACCTGATAGCCATCCTTGGGAAAAGCCTCGCCCTGGCCACAGCAGTCCATGCAACCCTCATGCCTCAGCCTCCTGCCTGCTTTCTCTCCCGGCTGCCTTTGCTCCAGGCCCCTTCACACAAATCTACCCCACAGTAGCCGACGGGAACACGGTCTGTGCCAACAGGGCCTGGCACCATTTGAAAGGCATTTGAGTGTCCAGTCCTGGCCTCTCCCCTTCCCATTGCATTTCTCTTTAACCCAGACCCTCAGCTATGCCAGCCTCCTCGGTCAGCCTCGGCCTTGTCTGGGGCATTGCTGCCTCGGGGCCTTTGCACTGGCCTAGGTGCTGCCTGGGTCTCTGCCTTCAGACATCCCAGTGACAGTCCTTGTCCTTACTATGAGCTCAGCAGCACGTGGGTGCCAGTGTGCAGTCCTTCCAGGTCCTGTTTTGCCTGGAAATGGACCTCTGCTCATGCCCGAGTCTATCATCTGTTTCATGCAGGGGCCAGGGGTACCAGTGGGATCTGGCACTCATAATGGCCCTAGCAAACCGGGCATGGTGGCATAGTCCTGTAATCCCAGCACTAGAGAAGCTGAGGCAGGAGGATTCTTACAAGTTTGAGACCAGCCTGGGCTACATAGTGAGCTCAAGGCCAGCCTGAACTGCACAGCCAGACCCTGTCTCAAAATGCAAAAAAAAAAAAAAAAAAAAAAAGGGCCTAATAAATGTTTGTGGAAGGGATGAGGAATTAGCAAGTGACTGACACATAGTCCTCTGTCCGACTGTCCCAGCAGGGGGACAGTTATAGCACCATCTTCATGTCACCTGCGTGAAGAGATGTCACTCCAGGAATGTCTCCCGATGCCCCCCTCAGCCCCGGCTGCCTTAGTGACCCCGCCTCACTCACCCCATGGGGGTCCCGTTGCTGGCCAGCTTGGAAAGTTTCGCCATGGCCTTTGAGTAGGTCTCCTCGATGGTGGCCCTGGGTGAGAGGATGGGGGAGAAAGTGGGGAAGTCTCTGGGCACCTTTGGGAAAGCATCTCCCCAACCCCAGCCTCAGTTTGCCCATCTTAAACATCTAGGCGGTGGTTTGCAAAGGAGGGTGTTGTGGAAATTCACGGGAGAGACGTTTTCCCCTTCTGTATTTCATTTTACTAAAAACGGTAGTATTTCTAGCAGCTGCAGATACACAGATTTTTTTTGAGCACATATTATAACAGGCTCTGTGCTAAATTCTGTGGCTGATCTCGCTAACTGCAGGAAAAATCCTGCTTAGTGCCTTGACAATTTCAAGTTTCTGGGCGGCGGGCAGAAATGTGCCCAGCGATCAGCACTGCCCATGGGGGCACAGAGGCGCTGACCCCGTAGTCCATGGTGTTTTCTAGACTTCGGGTGTCTGCGCAATGATGCTCTGAAATGTGGATGATTTCTTCATCCATGTTTTCATTTATCAGTTTAAAGATCCGCTGCTGTGATTAACTTATCTCACTTTCTAGGAAGAGGCCACAGAGCCCCGGTGGTTACTGTTTAAAAGCCGGGACAGAGCTGACAGGATCCAGGGTCTCCGAGCCCCTCAGGCTCCTGCGGCCGGCGGGGCGTTGGACACAGGAGCACAAGCCCAGAAGAGAATGGGCGGGTAGGGCTTGAGGGGCGTGGCTACTGGCAGTGGGCGGGGCCTCGTGGTGGGCAGGGCATAGGGGACCTCACCTCTCCCGGATGAAGTCGGCCAGCTCCTTGGTGGAAATGGGACCCTGCTTCACGCTGTGGTACAAGACTTCAAAGCCGTGGTTTTTCTCACCCTGTAGGGATAGAGTGCAGATTGATCAGGGGGAAAAAAGAGGGCATTTATGTTGCCTAGCCACAAGGGCGGGGCAAAGGAATCAGTTTGCACAAGTCTTCCCTTGGCCATAGGGATTGGTTCAGGAGTGAGCCAATCAGATTGCTGCATTTCCCCTTGGCCTCAAGGATTGGCAAATGAACGTGAACCGGCCCAATAAGAGAAAAGTCTGAGAATTTTGTCTCATAGAGAGGAGAAGACTCTCTTTGTGTGTGTCTCTTTCTCCTCGCTGCCTCTGTCTCCATCGGTTTCTTCTCTCTGTTTTCTGTGTCTTTCCATGGTGAGAAACTGTGTGGTAACAGGAGAGGTTAGAAGCAAAGTGGAGACCATAGCTTCGGATTCCTGGGCTGGTAACATCAGAACATCAGAACAGCTGCGGGTTTAGTGGCGCTGCTGGATCAAACCAAGCCTAAAGGCCACTTGCCCTGGGCTCTTCACTGCTGTGCGCCAGTTTAGCCCTGCCATTCAGATCACTGTCGTGTTTTCTGTCCCATGTGACAGCCAGGCAGAGTCTGGGTCTGAGTCTCTCCTGCCCTGCAGAGCGCACCCTGGGCTGAGGCCTGTGGCCCCTTCTGTCCCTTTCACGCTGGGTTAGGGACATCACCTCTCCAGGCCTCAGTCTATCCTCTGAGCGGAGGGGAGGAAGAAGGCACCAGCTCCTAGGGTCTCCGTGACCTCAAGTAGGTGGAGCTCAGGCCTAGGCGCCTCCAGGGTCCCGTCGAGGGCTGGGCACTAGCCCCAGCTGCTGCCAGGGACCCTCCGGGGGAGGCTG